AGTAACGTTGAGGTCGGTTCTCAGATCGAAATTCAAAAAGGCGATTGTCGTACTTCACAGCAAAGTCAATTGTTTGACTCAATGTTTGAGGTTCAGGTAAGTTGAGCATTAATTTTTTTATCTCATATTATAATCCGTAGAAAAATTGGCTAATAAGTGCAGCATCATCTCACTTGATATCAGTTACAAGTTATCAAAATTGTGAAGCCTACAACGTTACTAATCGATTACCTTGTCGTAAAATATAGATCTTATTGGTAGCAACACGAATTGCATCATGTTCTCCATACATGGATCAAAACTCCGCCAAAAAAACCTCTAGATTATCCAATATTGGATCTCGTCATTCAAAAAAAGATGAAAACCATGATAGTACTGAACTTGAGAGAAGCATACCAATGAATCTAACTTGCGATCCTGGAGTTGGATAGCTTTGGAGTTGAAGTTCAATCATAAGTTATACTTGATTGATAAATCTTCGAAACTTGGATCTAGTGCCATCAAACTTCTCGGATAGGACAATTCTTGGTTCTCTAACACTGGAAGGGCGTTCCACCATAGGAGAAAGGACATGGTTTGGTGCAGATGTTGAAGCAGCTCCAACCATTTCTATATCTTCACTTCCTGTCAATCTTGTTGCTCCTTGTGGTGGTAAATTGAGTTGATGCATTGCAAGCATTAATTCCCTCAATTGCTCTTGCATTTGTGCCATTGCACTCTTCATTTCAACAAGTTCTGCCATAATAACACTTAGAAGAGAGAAGATGTCTAATATCGCTCAAGACAAATAGAAGAGAGGACTTGAGAACAAAGAAAATATTAATGACAATATCAGTTTAGAAGAGGGTAATCTGCAACTTCTAATATGCTTATATCTTGTCAAGAAAAAAGGGTAATCCACTCTTAATCAAGATTAGACAAAGCTCTGATATTACAGGTGTACTCTTGTCAATCTGTCAAGGACAAGAACTTGATGAAAAATCAATTCAGACAAGTGAGCCTTTATTTAAAGAAAGTTAACAAAATATAAATAAATAAATATGTATATTGAAAGAGAAACTAGAATGGCTATTGGCAAAAGACAAGAAAACTAGAAACCCTTGAAATTAGACTGGAAGCAAGAAAGGAGTTGACAAGCGTGAAGAAGCCTTCATTCTTGTCTCTATATATACTATCTAACTAGGGGCTATGTGGCAACATTCTATAGGACCTCCAATATGTGTTGACTTTGTAGGACACATGCCTTGACTTACAAGGCAAGTTTTTCTACGTGTGGGCCACATAGTTAGCTTGATCTTCAAGCTAACAACATGTGTGGTACATGGCCAACTTGTTGACCACGTTTCTAATCCAAAAAGTCAATTAAAGACACCTATGAAGTCAAAGTAGCGTCTATGAAGCTTCTACGAAGCTTCCATATTAAATACTATAGAATTAACTTACTTTTATCTACTTTTACTTACTTCTACCTATTTGTATATGTAATTACTAGCTTACATGAATATATCCGTGATAAAGAATTTACATCAAAGTCTTTTGAAGACTATTGTACTACAACAAGAATTGAATTGACATATTGTGTTCCATATGAATATGCTCAAAATGGACTTGTAGAGTCATTTATAAAGTGTATACAACTCATTATCCGGTGTCATGTTGTAGTTCGGCTACTATATGAAAATAATGTAATTATGTACTTAATATATAATTTATTAAGTAACATGGTGAGAGCTATGTTAGAAGATTTTAGTTGGTTGTAGAATATAATTTGATTATTACTTTGAGAAGAGGTTGTTTAAAAAGATTACTATAGAATTTGTATAACTTTAATTTTTTTTTGATAATGGCTTTTAAGATATTAAGAAAATAGTACTCACGTACTTGTAAATTAGGATTTAGAACATCTGCTAGGGTTTCTTAGATGTCAGAAGATTGAGAGTGAATTTGCAGTTGGTTTTTTTTTTTTTGATAAAATTTAAAGATGAATTCTACCTATCCTATAAATTTGAAACAAATTGAATGGCTAGATCAAGAGTTATGAATTTCTAAAGTTTGAGACAAGAAAACCCTTCGCGGGAAAAATATGTTTTAAAAGGATATTGTTATATTTTGAGTTTTATGCAAAATAAAGGAGTTTTGGGAGGTTAAGACAAGATTCATATAAAGGTTTAAGCTAAACTCTCTACAGCTAGATACCTAGTGTATTCCCAGATAGCAAATCATGCAAATTTACATGCATCTATGTGAGGTCATGTAGCATTAATACACCTCCACACTTCTTCTCTTGAAATTGTTTCACCACATGAGCTCATTTAGGGTCGTATTCCAAATGTATCTCACTTATGAATATTTGGTTGCCATGCTTGGATTTGAGTATCAAAACCTCAATGGCATACCATTGGAGATCATCAACAAGAAGGCATATATGTTGGTTTTCATTCACCAAGCATTATTCGTATTGTAGATCCATCAACTGGCACATTATTATGTGCATGTTTGCAAAATTACCGTTTTGAAGAAAACATATTCCCATCTCTTCAAGGAGGAGTATCCAATCAATAAAGAAATAAAGTACTTGTATTTGCAGCACCAAAAATGTTTACAATGAATCCCGATCCTAGTACATCTTTGGCAGAAATTGAAGTTACTAAGATTTTACATCTAAAATGGATCGAAGATGAAACACCTAATGGCTTCAATGTTACACCTAGAATTATAAGAGTTTCTATTAATGAGGGTCAAACTGCACCTGCTCAGATTGCAATGCCATTAACTACAATGCCTCAAGTTATAATAACAACAATTAAAAGAATTCGTAAAGTAGATAAGTAACCACATAAGAAGAAAGCTATAATATTGACTAATCCTAGTATTATTTCTCAAGAAATTTCTACTCATCCTATGGGACTATCAATTCATGATGATATATCCATGCATAATGTACCTTCAATTCCTATGAAAAACAATGTTGGAATTGGAAGGAATAAGAACAAGTTGAATAAAGTATTATCTATTTTGTATTGTGCTATAGATGATATTTGGGACAGGCCATCTATTGTGGTAGATGAATCATTTGCATGTATGATTATAGAAGCCCTTAGTGTGGACAATGGATGATATGGATGATTATGGTCATGATCCATATCATCCATGCAAGGAAGAGGAGAAAATATTGGGAGATCAATATCCCTACCTTGCAGCAGTTGGAGCACTTTTATATTTGGCTACATCAATAAGACCAGATATTACATTTGCAATTGATGTTCTTGCAAAATATAGTGCACATCCAATACTACGACATTGGAATGGCATCAAACATTTATTACATTATTTAAAAGGTACTAAAGACTTGAGATTATACTATACACAATTTACAGATCCAAAGTTGGTTGGATATTGTGATGCATGATATAAATCTGATATTGTAACAACTAAATCTCAAACAGAATATGTATTTTTAAGACATGGAGCTGCAATATCATGGAAATTAGTGAAACAAAGAATAACTGCAACTTCATCCAATCATGCAAAAATTATTGCCTTACATGAAGCATCTCGAGAATGTATTTGGTTGCAATCAATTGATAAATTCATTCAAACAATTTGTAGATTTTCATATGATGATTTTCCAACTATCTTGCATGAAGATAATAGTGCTTGTATTACACAGATGCAAGTTGGTTTCATTAAAGGTAATAAGACAAAGCATATTGATCTAAAGTATTTTAGTTATATCCATGACTTGATTATTAATCAAACACTTATAATTAAGAAAATTGAATTTGCAAATAACCTTGCTAATCTCTTCATCAAAGCTCTTCCATTATGCAACCATCGTCGATTTATTTATAGCATTAGTATGTAGTGACTTGTTTTTCTTGAATAAGAAAGTTAATGAGCTCTTTAAATAATTAAAGAAAATGATGTTGTACTCTTTTTCCTTCATCTATGGTTTTGTCCTTAAATACAATAAGGTTTTCTTAGATAAGATTTTAATGAGGCAACAATTGTTGATCTTACGAGATTACAGAAAAGTATAGATCATAATACAAATTTTATATTATGTAAATATTATGATGAGCAAGGAAGAGTGTTGAGAGCATTAAATGTAGCCGGCGCTCTCCATAATATTTACTGTAGACTATAGTAAATACCATAGCTACAATATTTGGAATGTAGTGGAGAAAAACTATTTATCCTCTCCCTTTTCTCCTCTTGTATACGAGACACAACGGATCAATAGATTTTTATGTGTGAAGCTCTCTCTCAAAAACCCTCTTGTATGTATTAATTACTATTACTCTTGTGTGTGTGTATTACTTACTACTACTCTTGTGTGTTTCTAAACATTCTCAACAGTTTACACATGGCATTTTGGACAGCATTTCCATTTTTCTTGCAACCAATATACCTCGCTCTCAAGTGCTGACATCAACAAGATCCATTTCAGCATGATAAATAACAATTGTGTTCTTTAGTAGCTTGTCCTGAAACATTGTACTTGGATAAAGATGTAAATGGCCACTTTTTTACCATCAAATGCAATACATTCATGCCCATCAGGTGAATACTTAAGAAATAAACCATTCAGCAGAAATTCGGCCTCGGTACTCAATCTGAATTTTTTTCTCATATATATTCAACACACTGGAACAAGGGTGAAAGAAAATGCGAAATCAGCTACCCAAGCTATTGAAATTCGCGTCAGAACTCAAATAATAGCATTCACTGACAGAAACTAAAAAGAATCAGACTGAAAAGACACCTGGGGCCTGTAAACATGAGATATACAACGCGTCTCAGCAAAAAGGAGTCACGTACATTACATCTAAGACCCAATGCGGGGAGGTGTGCGGAGAAAACCATGCAAACATACATGAAGCCCATCTGCTAAGAACCAAGTTTTTACGATGAAAAAAAAAAAAAAAAAAAAAAAAACAGAGAGAGAGAGAGAGAAGAAGAAAAAAAGAGAGAGACCAAGCGATGGCATGAGACAGAAGTAGAGAGAACAAACTTTCACGTTAGAAAGTCAGCCTTATTCATAAAGATAGTGGGGTGAACAAAAACAGCCCCAAAAACAGAGAATCCTGTTTCCATGGCTACCATCATCAGTGCGCGTCACTCCCAAATCGCCGAAGCTAGCGCTAGAATAAGTCATTTGTTTCCAATCCTACAAGCTTCCAATGACAAGATGGAGTATGACCTCCATGAAGACCAAAGTGTTACATTGCAGGGCAGGTTTCCAATGGAATGTGTTAAATACATCATCCTTTGCCAGTCTCTCGCATCATGTCAACTCGTTCTTGATTTGCCTGGGTCATATGCTAGTCCAACTTGACATTCGAAAAGATGCAATCCAGTGTAATATCTCTCATCAGCTACAATCCGCTCATTTGCCTACAAACCTCGAAGGTCACATGTATATGTGTGTAACCTCCTCGTGTCCACTGTTTCAACCAAAAAAGAATGCGAACGGCAAGTGGAGAAGTTCCGAGTGCTCCAGGAGCATACAATCGCTGTACAAAACTGCTTTTCCAGCAAGCCCTCAGCGGGAGAAGAGAAGAAATTGAAGTCGTCGGTACATACCTATCTACAGTGTCATTCATCAGTAAGATTTTACACGGTTTTTTTCTAGATTTTTAGTATATCATCCTCAATAGAACAAAAAAACTGCGATCGCCTCTCTGCAGTGGGTTGTGTAGTCGCAGACAACTGCACCCTTCTTCATATTCCCTGTCTCCATGTCTTGCTCGCTGAAAAGCAAGCAAACAAGGTGCTGTATACATGAAACCTCCGCAGATGAAGTCCACCTCCCCACTATACATGATTCGTCTCGACTCCGATACACCCGTAGCGGAACCAGCGATGTTGCCATCATGGACACACAAGTTACCAAAATCGTGCTCCTACGCTGCCGCAACAGAGGACGCTGGAGCAACACTTCGCCGTGAGGGCATCACTGGTCCTCGTTTCAAGGCGGAGGAGGAGCAGTTCTTGCTACGCTCGTCCATTAACATCTGCTGAGACCGGCACTCGACGCTGCAGAAGGCTTTGTCTCCTCTGCATTTTAGAACCAAAACACGATCAGACAACTACCCCGCAATGTCCAGTTCTGTGGTTCAAGAGAGACTAAAACACCTTCAGCAACTTGAAAAACATACAACTTGTCCACTGATGTGACATCCCAACATCCCATGCGTAACCACCCATACTCGTAAACAGTGTTCAAAGGGCGCCTCGTTCAGTGGACATACCTATACATAAATATATCTTTGTCCTCGGGAAGATGTCTCTTGCAAAATGAGCACTCATCCAGAAAGTGGGTAGTAGCAGTTAATGCAGCCGTATCATCTCCCACTACAAGGCTTCCCCGAGCGGGCGAGGCTGCAAGCAGGAATGTGTCACGGCGATCAACCTTCAAGGTATCTTGCTCCATCCATCCGAGAATCGGCCGCACCTCTTGGTGGTGCTTAGGGCCTTTCATTACTGGCCTGTTCTCGGGGTGCTGATGGTTGGTGATCTGGTTACTGAAATGGCAAGGACTAATTCCTGGGGTAGGAATGGGGTGACTATGGCGACGAGATTGTACAACCGGGATGTCCCAGTAACGTTGAGGACTGATATCCTCGCGGACGGGTATGGAAATGTGATCAGCAGCTTCGACGGACCTTTCGTTTATGCTGGTTTTAATGTCTTCCACAAAGAGAACGGGAGCAGGGGAATGGGCGTGAAGTACAATGCCCAAGCCCACCCCATCGCTCGGCTTCACGCAACGCGGCTGGCGCGAAAAAAGGCTATTGAGAGCGGAACGGGGAGAGGAGGCCTTGTCCTGAAAACAAGGTGAGCAAGGAGAAGATTTCGGGGAAACACCACCACATTCGCTGTAAGAGGGTCCTTGTGCAGACGCAGGCTTGGGATCGAAACCGATGACCACGCGCGGAGCGCAGGAGGGAGGGTCCTTGATAGTAGGCTTCAACTTCTCCTTGGGATTTTCCGGCAGGGGCGAAAACTCCTGAGAGAGGTTACCGGAACCTAACTGCGACACACTCGCAGTGCGTGTCAATGCGCGGGGCCTCTTCCCTGTCATGCTGGTGGTCGTGTGGAAGCTTTCTGGCTCCGTCCTGGAAATGATTCTTATGACCCCGTATCGCCCGACTCTTTTAAGAGCTCAAGCAGCCCCAAACTCACTGAACCCAGCCTGTAAATTGATCCTCTCAAACTGTCCTCGCCTCACCGAGAGCAGCTCTTCCGTATGCTACAACTCACAGTCCATCACTCACTTCCAAGTACTCACACAAGTGGCCGGCTACGCATCGAGCATCAAACCCAAAAACCCAACTCGATAAATTTCCACGCCCGCAACTCGACGCACATAAACCCGAACCAACACGCTCCGATCCGAACGAGGGATATAGTGCACAACGAAGAATATGAAAAAACTACAACAGGCACGAACGCTTAGATATACAAACAATCTCACAAACACTCTCAAACAGCTCTGTCACTCCGCACACAGCCAAATATATTTATATATACTACTCGAACTTGCGGCTCCCGCACTCCAAACTAGTACCACCACCTTGAAACAGACGAGCCGAGATTTAGGATATATCAAAACGAAACTCGGGGGAGGAAATTTGGGTACCACGAAAAACGGGAGAAACAAAAGGAACGATTAGTTGCTAGTCCCGAAGGGGATTGTAGAGATATGCGCAATGCGCTACAACAACGGAGGAGGAAGAGGAGTAGGAAGAGAAGAGAGCAGCCACACTTATGTCTGGGCGAAGGCTCATATGGGCGAAGGCCTGCACGGGGGGTGGTGAGAGACGCGACGCGACAAGCTCCCACACAGATGCTCGCTCGCTCGCCGGGCCGGGCTGGGCTGGTGGGGCAGGGTCCCGGCGAGGGTCGGGATGTGGGGCCCGGACAGGGCAGCGAGCCCGCGTCACGGGAAGGGGGACCCGCGATCGGCGGGGTGGTAGATTGACGCCGTGATTAGTGGCGTCATTATTTTTTATATCCCTTGGTTTTTTTAACAGCTGCCCGCCTGTCCGCGATCAGGGCCCCTCCTCTCTTTCTTTTGGGTTCCCTTTTCTGCTGGTTCTTTGTTCCCTTTTCTAAGAACGGGCCCCATTCTCCCTTAGATGGACTCTGTGCCACAGAGTGTTGTTTTTGCTTGCACGCACTTCAATTATGGTATTAATTTTTGCTCTAGCTTTCTAATCATGGGAATTTTGAGCATGATTTTTAAATGCTTTTAATTACTAATAGCCATTGCCTCACAAACCAGATGTGTCCAAAGAGGGGCAAAAAAACTACACTGGCCAAAAGCTATGACAGATTCTTCTTTTATATTGAGATCTTTACCTTTTGCATGTGCTTGTATGTTTCAAAGGTTGTTCCATTTGTCTCGTAGTCTGTAATCCATCTGCCATAAAATGGAGACTGGTTTTATCTATAGTCTATGGTCAGAGTTGAATTCAGAATGAAGTAAAGAGGAGAGAAATAGTTTTTTTTTGGTGGAGCTGCTTGTGGGAAGCTTTGCTAGGGTGAATGACAAGCAATGCTATGTGAAGTAATACTAACAACAACAACAACCATAAAAGAAGAAGAAGAGCAAACTAACAAAAATAGAACCCCTATGGAAAAAGGAGAAGGAATTAAATCTGGGGGCTCCAGGAATTGTGTGATTGGGTATGCTAATTCAGATACTAAGTAGCACAACCAATCAAATGGTTCAATGCATGGATTAAGTTTCTAGGAGGCCACGTATGCAATTTACACAAGTGAACCTTGACTTTCTTAAAACCCTCCCTTCCTAAATTCTAGAAGTTGTTTATATAGGATTTCAAATTAAAAACCAATAATTCCCCCCATTTTTCTGTGGAGTGCTCTTTCCAAATACACACACTTAAAACCTATTTTGCTGTTTTGACTGCAACCACAATGGAAATCAGTAGTAGAAGCTGAGGAACAGTGAACCAAATAGAGAAGATGCTGAGGAGGAAGATGGCACAACATGGCTTGATTGACTATTCAGAAGAGAACCATGGCTTTTGTCCACTGATACTCTCTTCACCAAAATCCTTGCTCTTTTTCCTATCTAATTTCATCTTTTTCTTTCTTTGGGTGGGTACTGTGGAGCTCTCAAGTAAACATAAGATGCACAGTAACAAATTTGGGGGCACCAAACAAAAACATGTGTAAATTCTTATTTTGTAAACATGTTGTTTTCATGTGAGTAAACAGTTCTTGGATCAATCTTTTGTTAATATGACCATGGATTCAACTATCTTTATGGTTTTGCTAATGCTAAAAATTTAGTTTCAAGTGATAAATGGTGCTGAACAGCATTAGACTTGTATCTCAAGATGGGGCCTAAACCCAGTGAAACCTTTTTTTCCTGCAAATGACATGGTCTCAGGTGAATGGAAAAATATGGTTCCTCTGTGCAAGCAAAGCCACAACTAAATTGTCTCCTCCAAATCTTCCAAATATGGCCAATAGCCTCCATTCACTGTAGCAAACCACTTTCTCCTAACCATGCCATGTACTTGATGCAAAATGCAGAATCTTTATATTTATATTCAATGTCTTCATGTGGACAAACTAACTCACATATTTTGCATGGGAGCCTAATGGAGCAAAATATGTATATAAAAAAAAGGGTCACATCACACCACTAACTATGCATTTTTTTTTAATGAAATTTCCTTTACTTTTTACATTGTTGATGCTTGAAATTTAGAAGAGAAGAGAGGGGGGGATAAGAGAACACACAGACATACATACACACAAAAAGAGCATTATGGGTATGAGCTTATTTTTCCATAGTCTTTAACAAAACTTGTTGCACATAATCAAGGAAATGCTCAGTTGCCACTGCAATAATTCAGCTGGTCAAGTTTTTGCAGTTTTCCTGTACTCTGTGAAGCAATCCCCCACACTTTTCTCTACTATCAGTGGTGACTGGTCTGCCCCCCACATTGACACACTCTTTACAGAGTTCAGGCTCTCTTTCCCACTGTTACTTTTCAATTCAGGACTTCCTCTAAAACTTGTGGGGGGTTTCAAACCCCCTGTTGATGTTGGTGACAACTGCAATGCCTGTGAAGGGAGCTGCTGGGTCCCCCAGTCTTTCCAATAAGACTATGTCAACTCACAATTGAGAGCCCCCCCCCCCCAAAAAAAAAACATATATAAACACATAAACATATAAACATATATAAGCTTGGTCTTCAAGTTAACAACATGTATAGCTTAGTCTCATTCATTCCAATGCAGCCAAAATCAGGGAGATCTTTCAAATTCTATATGTAACTATACATTATCTCCATTCCCACAATTGCAACAGTGAAGTTGTTAATAGACAACCAGAAGTTACTGAACACCATTTGAGCTAGCTTACTCTTGTTTCCCTCATTTGGAATAGGCATTTTTCTGATGGGGTTGACCTGGAAACTCAGAATATTCATACGTACGCAAATACATCAATATATACATACCTTCAATTAAATGACTTTTGTGGATTTGTGCAGGAGGGGGGGAATTATAACTCGGAGGTGGGACAGAATATGCTTGCTTTTCTTGTTTATTTGTTTAATCACTATTGTGGGGTTTTGACCAGATGGCACAGAGCCGCAGTCAGTCATGAGTTCTCGCCATTCACCGCACGGAGTGAGAGCTCGTCATACAGAAGCTATCCGTCCAGGCGAGAGACTACGACTCATCCCCAGCCAGTAGTAGGCATGGCCTGCTGCGACCCACCTCACGCTTTGTCCAGCAACACAGCCCATTCCTCCTCCTCGGCAGGTAAGTTAGCTCCCAATCGGGCCACGGGCAGAACCCACCACGCTCGGCCGGCCAAGTAGCTCGGCCATTTCGGCGACAGAGCGTGACAACCAGTGGCAATACAGTCAGAGAGTGGAGCCGGTCTCTCGCTTCCAACGACGGGAGGCTGTGAAAAAAAACCAAAGTGACAATGAGTTTACAACCAGCAGATTGCGCTGTGATATGACTTGACATTGAATCTCTGGAGGTTTCGAGTTCTTTTACTCTTCGCAATTCCTCCTCAATTGCTATAATCTTTGCGTGGAAAATCACCTTCTTTTTCTTTTCCTATTTTGTAAGTTGTGTGTTTGTTGGATTGTTTGTTGGATTGTTTGTTTGTTTGTTTGCTTGTTTCCTTACCTTCTTCTCCCTTTCTTTCAATACCAGCAACGTGTTTAGGTCTCTCGTGTGTCTGCTGCTCTCACCGGGCTCTACTCCGAAATGTGTGCATGGACTCTTAGACCTGCTTGCTCCCAACGTTCATTCATTCATCGGCCATCATCGGCGCGCTCTGCACTTGACACCTACCGCTCTCTGCCCTCGGCCCCGAGTGGAGGGAGTCCTTTGCGCCTCGAAATGTACGCTCTCTGTCAATGTCTGTCAGTGGGAACAGACAAATGAATGTGTGAAAGGATGAACTAGTTGGTTGTTGGATGATGCCTTCGTGCTGAATGAACAGTTCTGGGTGTGAACTGGTATCTTTCCCTTCCCCTTCACCCCCTTCATCCCCCACTAGTTTGTCGCTCATCTCTCAGCTTTTATTTGATACCATGCATTCATTTTCTGAAAGAAAAAAGTATTAATAAAATTATAATTAAAATAAACAAGAGAAAAGGAAAGAAAGGGGAGAAAGTAGGAACAGAGAGAGAGAGAGAGAGGAGTGTGTCTGGTATTGTACTCTATGGACACCCACCCTCTCCCTTCACATGCACCTTGTAGTATTGCCTCAAATTCTCAATCTCTCTCTCTCTCTCTCTCGCATGTCCACTATCTATCTATTATCTTTGACCATCTGGGCTTTCTATTCAATTAGTGACCTTAAATTGGGGGAGGGGGGGGGGTACAAAAGGCAGTTTTCTACAGAGAAATCCTTCCCTGCTGCTGCCCAAGGGTTGTCATTTTCCTTATACAGGGCAAGGAATTCAAACACACTGGAGCAGCAGCCTAAGACATTCAATTCAAGAATCCAGAGTCCAGGCTTTGGCTTTAAAATCCTCACACCTCCAGTTTCCCATTATTATTATTATTATTAGTAGTATTATTGCTGCTGTTTCCCTTCGGGGTTTCTCATTAGCCCCATGACCTAAGGGTGTTATGATTGTCCAGCTCATCACAATCCCTGCCAGCATGGCAAAAAGGGCTCAGCCCAGGTGGCACTCTGTCACAAAGGCGATCCCTGCAAGTGCCAATTAGGCCCCAGATCATTGAGGGGGGGGCTGCCCATCATGAGAATCTACAAGAATAATTTTGTTGTGAATGGGTTCCTGAACAAATTTGGTAATAGAATCATCTCATTATTGCTTTGTTTTTATTTTTGCTTTTAGTTATTCTTATTCATTCATTTTTTTTCTCGGAGATCCATAGTCAGTCGCATTTTGATGGACCTGCCCTAATTTTGTTTTTTCTCCTTCTTATGTCCCCTTCCCGCAGCAAATTCCCCCTCAGTTTGGAGCTTTACCTGGGTGCAATGAATAGTCGATTTTTCACATTACGGGGGTATCATACTCTTTGCTGGCACGCAAATGTATACATACAAACACTAGGTTCAAATTTTGTTGGTAGGAATCAATTTTTCAGACAACCATATGTGCTGAATTTAAAATCAGGTTAGGAATAATAATATAAAAAATCGGATTCATGATACAAGTGGGTATTTTGATTTTTTTCCAATTAATTTTCAAAGCCACCACTTGAAACACTTTGGTATTTCAGTGAGTTTCTATACTTGCAGCT